CTGGGTGAGTGATGTTGTGGGCACCTGGACTGCTTCGTCCTTGTGAGATTTGGTGTGAAGACAACACAGAAGGAGAACCAGCCAAGAGGGATCCAGTCAGGAGTAAACCCCTCTTCACAGGGACCCTGTGAGACCCAAGACTCACTCTGCCCACCTTGCTCTGACTTTTGGAACTGGCCTTTGTCATTCTTTGCGCAGGATGTGGGAAGGACATCCTGGTCTCTCTTCCACCTCCTGAGACCCAGGTGGGCACTTGGGGCAGCAGCACCTCCACCCGGGGTCTGGAGAGGGTGTCCTGAATGCACAGGGCCTAACCGTTCAGTAAGGCTGACCCTGTCCACAGTGCACTGACCTGCTCCAGGGTCTCGGGTTCCCTGGCATCCAGCTCACCCATCGCCAACCCCAGCTTGGTGTCTTGGGAGCCCCTCACTGGCAGGCACCCAGTAGGTGAAAGCTGCATGCCCAGCAAGAAGGAGAAGAAGCCGGTGGGGCTGGGATCCAGCATGGAGTGTCCAAGGCCCCTCTGCTCCCCAGGAACACCCAGCCCCACCTGCTGTGGGCTTTCTCCTCTTCGGTATATGTCTTTGTGGCTGATGTTGCCAAACACCTTCCTCTGGAAGAGAAGGCTCCATGACCATGGAAGGGGTGGAGGTGAGGAAGTGCTGTAGCCCTAAACCCAGAGAGCTTTAGAACTAACTTCCCTGAGCCCTGAATGTACTGCCTGTTACATCTGTACCAAGATCTGCCAAGATCCAGGCAGATTCTCTGTGTAAACACTTTTCTGTCCAACAAGAGAGGACTTGTTAACCCACAGCCGAACCCCGAGACGTGGGATGTGCTCTAACTGTGGAGACTGCAGGGAAGGTGTTTGAGAGGCTTCTTCCCAGGCGGCTCCCCTGAGGCGCCTGGAGTTACTGGACCCAGAGGCGGAGCACTTGCGCTTCTCTCCTCACTGCAGGCCAGACGGTGCCCCCAACCACACAGCCCTGCTCCTCCACCTCCCTGAGTTCAACAGAAACCCCCACGGTCACGAGGCCAAAGCGCAGTCTTCTTGGTGAGCAGAGCAGAGGCCGGTGGGAAGAGGGGTGGAAGCTGAAAGCTTTTGTAGAAGAAAAACACACACATGTGTTCCCGTGTGTGGTGGCCAGATGCTGCAGTTATTGGTGTTCCCCACACATTTATGGGTGGGTTTTGGTTTCTGTATTTTCTAAATTTCTTCTTTTTTAAACAGCTGCATATTATGAGAAAATTTTGCAATCAACCATGAGCACTTGCAAAATAAGATCTTTTTGTTTTCTTTTCCTAAAATGTTGCAGTTTTCTATGGTGACAGATGAACCACCTCCTACTTTAAGTATTCATTAAATTGGCTGCGCTGGGTCTTAGCTGTGGCATGCAGGGCCTTCAGTTGCAGCATGTGGGATCTAGTGCCCTGACCAGGGATTGAACGTGGCCCCCTGTGTTGGGAGCTCAGAGTCCTAGCCTCTGGATCAGCAGAGAATGCTGCGATCTCCTACTTAAAAAAAGGTTTTTATTTATTTTTGGCTGTGCTGGGTCTTCGCTGCTGTGTGGGCTTTTCTCTGGTTGTAGGGCGTGGGGGCTGCTCTCTCGTTTCTGTGCTGAACTTCTCTCTGTGGTGGCTGCTCTGGTTGGGAAGCAGAGACTCGATGCTCTTGGGCTGCAGTAGTTGTGAATGGACTTAGTTGCTCCACAGCACGTGGGGTCTTCCCAGATCAGGGATTGAACCCGTGTCTCCTGAATTGGCAGGTGGATTCTTAACCACAGGACCACCAAGGGAGTCATTCCCCTGCCCGCTTCCTGACAACATTCCACTTCAAAAAAAGACTAAAAACAATCTGTTTAGTAAGTTTTCAGGAGTCAAAGCTCTGAGGTCAGTGTCTGTGGTGTCATTCTCCCAAAGGCATCTTGGCTTCAGATACTGGCTGGGCTCATGAGTCCATTAAGCAGGGCAGGTCTTGTGGCTGAAGACAGGCTTGGCCTCTGGAGCTCTGCCCTCAGCGACTCACCCAGGGTCCCCGAGCCCTGGGAGCCAAGCAGAGCCGCGCGCAGGCGGGGCTGGTACAGCCGTGGGGCCGCCGCGGTCAGGGTGGAGCGTGTGGCGAGGGAGCTGGCTGTCCATCCCATGACTGCTGGCGTCCTGTGTGCCCGTGCACGGCAGTCACGGTGTCAGGTGAGGCCTGGCCGCTCTCTGGGGACAGGGTGGGCCCTCAGACAGCTCGCATCCCCACTCCCCATCTCCCAGCTCTGCTTCAGATCATGGCTTGTGGCTGCTGGCAGCTCCCAGGGCTGGGAGGCTATGTAAAGAACCAACCCCCTTGCTCAAGGTCAGCTGAGACCCCCAGCTCTGGGGTCATACACCATCTGTACCACCATCCAGGTCATCCCACTTCTGTGAGGGAGGGCCTGTGCAGGACTGTGGGTGATGGGGAATTTGGGGGTGTTGTGGGCTGGCCCCAGGAGCCAGCTTTTTGAGGAGAGAGGAGCAGAGGGGAGGGGAGGGAGAAGCTTTGACCTGCTCAGCCTTCCAGGGCGTTCCAGGCCCAGCTCTGGTGGGAGGTGCAGGTGAGAAGCCCCTGCAGGTTTCTGGGTCCCCAGAGTTTTTCAGTTGAAGCCCCTCAGCCTGCACCACCCCTAACTCTCCCTCCCGTGGCCCTGGCCTGAAGCCACAGAAGATGGGAAGTTTACGTGGCTCCCCTTCCTGTAGGGAAACCAAGCCACAGACAAACACGTTCCTTTAAGAAAGCATGACAGAAACAGGAAAATAATAGTGGGTGGTTATTACTGACATGGTTCATGTAGAGACGCTTCACAAGCCTGGCCCAGGGAGGGAACTGAGGGCTGTTGCCCCGAATCCTGGAGTTTGCACCCTCCACCCCCCGCCCCGTGGCCCACTCTCCCCTTGTTGTCTTCTGGTGGCCGGGCGGACTTCAGCCTCCTGAACCCCTTCTGGAAGGATCAGGCCAGGGCAGAGGTCATTCACGGAGGGGAGGGTGTGGTCGACCTTAAGAACGCTATTGCCCCCACTCTGTGTCGGAGCTCAGTTCCGGGTCTGAGCAAGTGTGGCTTCCTGGTGCTGTCCCCACCCTCACTCACCCAGGGTGGGGGGCTTTGTGCCCACCTTGTCCCCTCGTGCAGCCTGGCCACCCCAGGGCCCTTGCTGTGTGTACATCTGCTCTGCTCACAGCTCACCCCGGGGCCCATCAGACTTCAGTCATGAAAGAGAAGTGTAAGGATGTGCTCGGGCCTGGTGCAAGACCCAGAGGGATTGGGTGGAGAGGGAGGTGGGAGGGGGGACCGGGTTGGGGAATACATGTAAAAAAAAAAAAAGATACACTATGGTTGTGATAAAAAAAAAAAAAAAATAGTGCAGCTAAAAAAAAAAAAAAAAAAAAAGAAAGAGAAGTGTAAGGATGAACTATTCCATGGTTAAGAAATTCAAGGTCGTGACAGCGTTGCCCAGAGTGCACGGGCACAGGTGTGAGGCCCATGCATAGAGAAGCTGCAGTGTGGGCTTCAAGGACCCTCCGTGTGGTGGTGGGATGGGGGCCGGTCAGGGATTTCCTGCAAACGCGGCTCCAGGGTCTGTTCTTGGCAAGGGGGACGACTGTGAGCACGTGGACGATGTCTGTGGACGGGCTCTGGGGCTGCCCAGCTCAGCAGGAACGGCAGGGGTGGGAAGGGAGGTCGCCCTCCCTTCGCACCCCTGACCTCACACCCCCTCTTCAGGGCAGCTGGGTACCTAAACGGCCTCTTCCTTGTCTAGCTCTGAAGACCTGGAAGGTGTGGGGGGTGAAGGACATGCAGAAAACAAATTCTGTAAAGCAATTATCCTTCTATTAAAAAATAAAAAAGATTAAAAAAAAAAAAAAAAGGACAGCAAAGGTGGGGTTTGAGTTCTCAGCGAGCCTCTGCCAGATTCCGCCTGTGCTTACACATCAGACCAAAATGCTGGTGCTCCCACGTCGTATCACAGATGAGAACAGAGACACAGAGAGGTTGAGCATCTTGTCCCAGCTCACAGAGCTGCTGGGGGCAGGGCTGAGAACTGGACCCCGGTGGTCGAATCTGGAGCCCAGATGCTGTGATGACCCCGAGGGAGCGGCAGAGACCAGACGGCCCATGCTGAGCCAGGCGCACACGCACACACACACACGTGCACGTGGCCTTCACCTTTGCGGTTACAGAAGTCAGAGGGAACCAGAGGGCCCCCAGGAGAGGCCAAAGGAGAACCGAGGTCTATAAGGAGGGGAGGCCTCACTTCCCAGGAGGCCGGGGAATTCCCTTCCCTGGTGAGTCTGTCTCAACTCTACATTCCTCTCTCTGGTCCCAGGAACTGACTCTCCAGTGACCTAACTGACTTGGCTCCAGAATTATGCCTTCCCAGGGGTTCAGCTACGACTGGACTCCACTGCTGTCAGTGATAAGGGGGGAATGAATGCATAGTCTGGGCTTCAGATCTGTTTGGAGACAAAATTTCTTAGAAGAGGAGTACTAAAAAACCACGAAGGCAATTGGCATGAACATCACCAGAACACCTAAGAAACCCTCTGCTGTTTATCTACCTCCTCTCATGTCACGAAAGTGGAAGGTCTATTTAAGAAGTAATCCTGTGCTTATCACACTCTTTCTTTAAAATATTTATTATATATTTATTTATTCGGCTGTGCTGTGTCTTAGCTGCAGCACGTGGGAGCTAGTTCCCCAATCAGGTATTGAACGTGGGTCTCCGCATTGGAGTCTTGACCCCTGGACCACCTGGGAAGTCTCTCCTCATGCTCCTGGGGACAGTAACGGGTCACAGGCCTCCTCTGAGGCCCCCTTAGAGCTGAGGCATGGGGTGGCTGCAGTAGTCCTCCTGTGGCTAAGGTGTGGTTTGTTGGTCATAACTCACTCACACTCCCCGCAAACATAGGGCTTCTCTGCTAGTGTGTCCTCTGGTGGGAGATGAGGATGGACTTCTGACTGAAGCTTCGCCCACACTCCCCACAAATATAGGGCTTCTCCCCTGTGTGTATCCTCTGGTGTCTGATGAGGGCTGACTTCTGACAGAAGCTTTGCCCACACTCCCCACAAACATAGGGCTTCTCCCCTGTGTGTGTCCCCTTGTGTGAGATGAGATGGGTCTTCTGACTGAAGCTTCGCCCACACTCCCCGCAAACATAGGGCTTCTCCCCTGTGTGTGTCCCCTTGTGTGAGATGAGATGGGTCTTCTGACTGAAGCTTCGCCCACACTCCCCACAAACATAGGGCTTCTCCCCTGTGTGTATCCTCTGGTGTCTGATGAGGGCTGACTTCTGACAGAAGCTTCGCCCACACTCCCCACAAACATAGGGCTTCTCCCCTGTGTGTGTCCCCTTGTGTGAGATGAGATGGGTCTTCTGACTGAAACTTCGCCCACACTCCCCGCAAACATAGGGCTTCTCCCCTGTGTGTGTCCTCTGGTGTGAGATGAGATGGGTCTTCTGACAGAAGCTTCGCCCACACTCCCCACAAACATAGGGCTTCTCCCCTGTGTGTGTCCTCTGGTGTCTGATGAGGGCTGACTTATCGCTGAAGCTTCGCCCACACTCCCTGCAAACATAGGGCTTCTCCCCTCTGTGTGTCTTCTGATGTCTGATGAGGGCTGACATATCGCTGAAGCTTCGCCCACACTCCCCACAAACATAGGGCTTCTCCCCTGTGTGTGTCCTCTGGTGTGTGACGAGATTGAAGTTCTGACTGAAGCTTCGCCCACACTCCCCGCAAACATAGGGCTTCTCCCCTGTGTGTGTCCTCTGGTGTCTGATGAGGGCTGACTTATCGCTGAAGCTTCGCCCACACTCCCCGCAAACATAGGGCTTCTCCCCTGTGTGTGTCCTCTCATGTGTGGTGAGACTTGACCTGTCCTTGGAGCCTTGCCCACACTCTCCGTACGTGACTCTCATAATCCCTGAGACCCCTACCCCCGTGAGCAATGTGCCTGTGTCCTCCGGATTCAGTTTCTGGCTTGTGCTGGGCTTGTCTTTCATTCTCTCATGCACCCCAGAACCCCCCACTTGTCCTCTGGGTGAATAGGAAGAAGCCCTTGAAATCCTCTTCAGCCTTATGCCTTTCAGCAAAGGTTTGGGCCTGTCCTTGGCCTCCTGACCCTCAGGTTTGTCGCTCGGGCTCTGTGGATCTGAATATCGCTGATTTTGATTGCCTGGGCAGGGATCCTCTGGTTGGAGGGGGTCTCTCTCAGATGGTCTCAGGAGGGTCTGAGAGGGGTGACTGCGTTGGATGTGTTGGCTGAGGAATTTCTGACTGGAGAAAGCCAGAGAGCAGGAGGCACATGGGTGGATCTTGGGCTTCAGTTCTGCTGAAAGAGGAAGCTTTTGGTCAGGTAGCTGGTTTGCCATGGTCAGGCCCTCCCCACTAATCATCTAAGTGTTGACAGTGCACGATTTGTCTCCCATCAAGTGTCTTTACAGTCCACTTTTCCACTCCACTCTTATTCTCTACATCTACAGAAATCCAGGAAGCTGGTGTCAAGGGCCTTTTCTACATATCACCCAGATAGGGACCTTACAGCAGCATCAGAGGCAGCGTCTCTCCTGATAGAGGTGGATCTGCAGGGACCTTTCCCTGCGTGTAAGTGTTTGAAAAGTCACGTCACAGTGGCCACAGGTGTTTACCCTACTGAGAGATAAGACTTGATGACTTAGGTGGAATCTCCTGAGAGGCTCACTGTGAGGGGAAAGGGTCTATTAAGTTACGGGCGCCTGGGCTGGAGCTCTCTGCATATGGGAGGGAGCACAGGGTGTGGTTACAGCAGGTGTGGGTAAATCTGACTCTGTGGCTCCTTGTTCAAAGGGCAGACTTTGTGCCAATCTCTGTAGGAAGTAGGTTTGAGACTGGACGAGACCTAGTGGCCCAGGTCCCAGTGACTACAGGTCTCTGGCTCCTGCTGTCCCAACAGGTTCAAAATTGCTCCTCTCTCAGTTTCCCATAAATCTTAAAATAAAGGCATATCCTTTCTCAAGCCTCACCAGTACTCATACCTCATTTATTTCATTCAGGCTTAGTCCATTTAACATACAATAGGAAGCCCTATTTAAAAATACATCTCCAGTAAGACCCTTCACACCCTCACTCCCAAGCATCTTTAGCCAGCCCACTGTCCCCTCATGTCTGGCAATGAACTGACCTCTGAGGGGACTCCCCGCTGCTGTCTCTTCCCAAAAGTGAACCAAAGCATCGTGTTAGCACAGAGAACATGACGCTTGCAGCTGAAAGCCGCATGGTTGTTCTGTGTCACCCAGGAGGACCCCTGGGGCCTGCACGTGGACAGAGGCCTTGAGGCTTCCGTGTCCCATCCAGCCTCCTTCTCTCCCTCTGTGCTTCCTCCTGTGACCCCTGCCATGGCCTCGCTTCCTGGCCCTGGGGCTGCAGCACTGGCTGTTCCCCTGCCTGGAGTCCTTTCCCACGGTTGTTATCTCTGCAGAGACCCTGCCCCAGCATCCTCTGCCACACCACACCCTCTGCTCACGCTGATCCGAGGCACGTTCCCTGCGCTGGTTTTGCTCATAGCACCAGCCCCTGTCTGGTATCAAGCCCCTGCTGCCCCAGGGCAGTGGTCCTCTCTGTTTGGGTGCGTGGAGCCCCGTCTGGCACAGAGTGTGATCTCACAGGACAACAAACTGGAACAGCAACTGAATGCACATCACTGTACATGTGTGCACCCCAGTGTTCATCGCAGTACTGTTTATAAAAGCTAGGACGTGGAAGCAACCTAGATGCCCATCAGCAGACCAATGGATAAGGAAGCTGTGGTACATATACACCATGGAATATTACTCAGCCATTAAAAAGAATTCATCTGAATCAGTTCTAATGAGAGGGATGAAACTGGAGCCCATTATACAGAGTGAAGTAAGCCAGAAAGATAAAGACCATTACAGCATACCAACACATATATATGGAATTTAGAAAGGTAATGATAATCCTGTATGCAAAACAGAAAAAGAGACACAGATGTACAGAACAGAATTTTAGACTCTGTGGAAGAAGGCGAGGGTGGGATGTTTCAAGAGAACAGCATTGAAACATGTATATTATCTAGGGTGTAACAGATCACCAGCCCAGGTTGGATGCATGTGCTTGGGCCGGGTGCACTGGGAAGACCCAGAGGGATTGGGTGGGGAGGGAGGTGGGAGGGGGTATCGGGATGGGGAATACATGTAAATCCATGGCTAATTCATGTCAATGTATGACAAAAACCACTACAATATTGTAAGGTAATTAGCCTCCAACTAATAAAAATAAATGAAATAAATAAATAAATAAAAAATTAAAAAATACTGATGACTAAGGAATTCCATTTACTTCCTTTAAATTGGCAGATGTCATTCACAAATTTCCTAGTGTGACTCTTAAAATAGCTTTGTCCTATAAATATTTTAAAATAAAATGTCTTTATTTTAGTTAAAAAAAAATTAACGGGAGGAATTAAGGAAGAAAGCTGTAAAGGGCAGAGAGGTGGTAAGTGTTAGAAAGCTCGCATTTTGCTCCTAAGCCTTTCAGCAGAAGGTGATGTTACATATTATTTTGCATGAAATATTAAAAATTAGAACTAGCATTTTTAATATAGAAAATTTTCCTAACAATCATATGAAAAGAATCAAATTCTGAGGCATTTTAATTGCAACTCAACTGACTTTGGACTGGATTGTACTCTGCTTTGAAATCGGCCCATGGAGGCTCCCAGGATGGGGTGGGGTGCTGGAAGAGGGGTGACACTCACCTCTCCCGGCCGCAAGGTCACTCTTCCTCCTGCTGTCCCGCTTGATGCCAAGGTCCTGGCCATACTCGTCCCCGTACCAGACCAGCAGCTCACAGCCCGGCCTGACCACCTGGCAGGTTCGGTAGAAGATCTGCCCGTGATACTGGAAGGCCACCAGGTTCTGCTCCTCGTCGTCCCGGGCGCAGTTCACATACCTGGGGTCGAGGCCGGGAAAGGGAAAGAAACCTCAGGTGATGAGTGCCCTCCACTCTCCGACCACGCCCAGCTCCTTGCCTTCCGCCTCTGAGGCCGCCCCTCATGTGGACCTTCTGTTCACACCTTCGGCCAGGCCATGTGAATTCCCATGCCTTTCTCTCCTTACCTAATTAGCCATTTTCCAGAGCCCAGTTCCAGACTCAGCTCCACCTGGACTGTCCGTGAGGCTGGTGACCTCCAGCTCCTCTAAACTCTGAATTAAGTTCTCTTTCATCCACAGGACTTGGTGCTCCTCGGCTAACACGCAGCCCTCAGCACTCACCCCAGCCTGCCTTCTCTCCCGAGGCTTTCTCCCCTCTCCCCACGTGTATCCAGGGTCCTATTCGCTCGCCCACCCACTCCCACGGAAACTTGGAGAGAGCTCTGAGAGAGCTTGAGACACGGAACAGTAATAGTTTGTTCCTGTCTGCCTGCCCTGATGAAAGGAGAGGCCCTCAGAGAACGGCCCTGCTCAGGGCCATCCTGCCCCCCATTCCTTCCGAGGCCTCAGAGCCCACTTCTCACTGGAACCAAGCCTGAGGAGGTTGTTGCCCACATAGACTCAAGGTCTCCTGTGTTAGGTTATCCTGGCGCTGTGCAGTTACTCAAAGAGAGAAAAAATAAGGTTACTGTTCCTAAAATCAATTGGCTAATGTCTGTTTGCAGTATGTTCTCCAAAAGGACATGGGTTGTGTGATCTGCTTCAGTAACGAAGTTCATGGTCTGAACTGAAACATAAAGTGCGTGGTAAGTGTCCATTAAGTCAGTGAAAGTGTCCCTGGTGAATCTAGACTCCTCAAGTTGATTTCAAGTCCACCAGTTTTGTTCAGCATATAGACTTGTATCTTGACGGCACATGCCATATTTTTATTTCCTTCTTTCTAGTGTCTTTTGAAATGAAAGAGCATGATATGGAGGGAAAAGAGGAAAGAAGATGTGAAAGCTGTTGAGGGAGCCGGGTTGAGAAGGAAAGGGGCGTGGGATTGAGGGAGTATCCACGTCTACACACTGCAGGCTCACTGCACTCACCTCATCCAGTTGGCCCAAGACGTGTCCTTTCCATCCACATACTGGTAGCAGTTTCTCCCTTTGGTGATCTGAGTGTCAGAAAAAGAGTTACAAGATTTCCTCTTTTTTTTTTTTTTTAATCTGTAGGAAGCAATAGAGGAGCCATTTCCCTCTGCAGTCATTGGTGCTTTTCAGCCTGCATGGATTCAACTGCCAGTCAGACCACACGGTAAGCTCCTTACTCATCATTTCAAGTCGGAGTCTCTTGGTTACTTGAAGGCAAGGTCACCACAAGGGAGGAGTCACTTCTGTGTATCTGTACACTGGGGTCCCACCTCTCCTCTGACCTTTGGATAGAGGTCCTGAGTATCTGTACACTGTGTTCCCATCTCCCCTCTGACCTTTAGATACAGGTCCTGTGTGTCTGTCCACTGTGTTCCCACCTCTCCTCTGACCTTTAGATAGAGGTCCTGTGAGTGTGTACCAAGGTGTTCCAGATCTCTTCTGACCTTTAGATAGAGGTCCTGTGTGTCTGTACACTGTGGTCCCACCTCTCCTCTGACCTTTAGATAGAGGTCGTGGGTGTCTGGACACTGTGTTCCCACCTCCCCTCTGACCTTTAAATAGAGGTCCTGTGTGTCTGTACACTGTGTTCGAACCTCTTCTCTGACCTTTAGATAGAGGTCCTGAGTATCTGTACACTGTCTCCCACCTCTCCTCTGACCTTTAGATAGATGTCCTGTGTGTCTGTCCACTGTGTTCCCACCTCCCCTCTGACCTTTAGATAGAGGTCCTGTGTGTCTGTACACTGTCTTCCCACCTCTCCTCTGACCTTTAGATAAATGTCCTGTGTGTCTGTCCACTGTGTTCCCATCTCTCCTCTGACCTTTAAATAGAGGTCCTGTGTGTCTGTCCACTGTGGTCCCACCTCTCCTCTGACCTTTGGATAGAGGTCCTGAGTATCTGTACACTGTCTCCCAACTTTCCTCTGACCTTTGGATAGAGGTCCTGTGTGTCTGTCCACTGTGTTCCCACCTCTCCTCTGACCTTTAGATAGAGGTCCTGTGTGCCTGTCCACTGTGTTCCCACCTCTCCTCTGACGTTTAAATAGAGGTCCTGTGTGTCTGTACACTGTGGTCCCACCTCCCCTCTGACTTTTAGATAGAGGTCCTGTGTATCTGTACACTGTGGTCCCACCTCTCCTCTGACCTTTGGATAGAGGTCCTGTGTATCTGTACACTGTCTCCCACCGCTCCTCTGACCTTTGGATAGAGGTCCTGTGTGTCTGTCCACTGTGTTCCCACCTCTCCTCTGACCTTTAGATAGAGGTCCTGTGTGTCTGTACACTGTGGTCCCACCTCTCCTCTGACATTTAGATAGATGTCCTGTGTGTCTGTCCACTGTGTTCCCACCTCCCCTCTGACCTTTAGATAAATGTCCTGTGTGTCTGTCCACTGTGTTCCCACCTCTCCTCTGACCTTTAGATAGAGGTCCTGTGAGTGTGTACCAAGGTGTTCCAGCTCTCTTCTGACCTTTAGATAGAGGTCCTGTGTGTCTGTCCACTGTGTTCCCACCTGTCCTCTGACCTTTAGATAGAGGTCTTGTGTGTCTGTACACTGTGGTCCCACCTCTCCTCTGACATTTAGATAGATGTCCTGTGTGTCTGTCCACTGTGTTCCCACCTCTCCTCTGACCTTTAGATAGAGGTCCTGTGAGTGTGTACCAAGGTGTTCCAGCTCTCTTCTGACCTCTAGATAGAGGTCCTGTGTGTCTGTACACTGTGTTCCCACCTCACCTCTGACCTTTAGATAGAGGTCCTGTGAGTGTGTACCAAGGTGTTCCAGCTCTCTTCTGACCTCTAGATAGAGGTCCTGTGTGTCTGTACACTGTGTTCCCACCTGTCCTCTGACCTTTAGATAGAGGTCTTGTGTGTCTGTACACTGTGGTCCCACCTCTCCTCTGACATTTAGATAGAGGTCCTGTGTGTCTGTCCACTGTGTTCCCACCTCTCCTCTGACCTTTAGATAGAGGTCCTGTGTGTCTGTCCACTGTGTTCCCACCTCTCCTCTGACCTTTAGATAGAGGTCCTGTGAGTGTGTACCAAGGTGTTCCAGCTCTCTTCTGACCTCTAGATAGAGGTCCTGTGTGTCTGTACACTGTGTTCCCACCTCTCCTCTGACCTTTAGATAGAGGTCCTGTGTGTCTGTACACTGTGTTCCCACCTCACCTCTGACCTTTAAATAGAGGTCCTGTGTGTCTGGACACTGTGTTCCCACCTCACCTCTGACCTTTAAATAGAGGTCCTGTGTGTCTGGACACTGTGTTCCCACCTCTCCTCTGACCTTTGGATAGAGGTCCTGAGTATCTGTACACTGTCTCCCACCTCTCCTCTGACCTTTAGATAGAGGTCCTGTGTGTCTGGACACTGTGGTCCCACTTTCCCTCTGACCTTTGCATAGAGGTTCTGTGTGTCTGGACACTGTGGTCCCACCTTCCCTCTTACCTTTGGATAGAGGTTCTGTGTGTCTGGACACTGTGTTCCCACCTCTCCTCTGACCTTTAGATAGAGGTCCTGTGTGTCTTGACACTGTGGTCCCACCTCTCCTCTGACCTTTAGTTGGAAGTCCTGTGTTCACGCCCAGTGCACTCAGTCCACAGGGCTGACTGTATCATTGCCAACCATGTTATCAACATCTGCATCCTCGCATGTAGACATGAAGTACCCCCCACCACATACAAGCGATTAGAGGCCAGAGGACAGGGAAATGGGTGCTTCTCACCAGCCAGGCATATCCACTGTTGGCGGCCTCTTCGTCGTCTGTGATCTGGCCCTCATAGGGGCCAAAGTGCAGGCCCAGCGGCAGATTGGATGCCTCGTTCCACACTCCAAGCCCAGCGTCAGGGATGCCCGACAGTCTGATGCTTAACCCAGGGGGCAGAGTGAGCGCTGAGCGATTGGCATGCCCCCTTTTCACTGCACAATCCTTTACAAAGGTTGGGGGCCCGTGGGCAGCACAGCTGTCGATGAAGAAGTTCTGACACTGCTCACAATCTGGAGGTGAGAACAGGGATGAGAGGAGGTATAGTGATGTTGCTGGTCGTAACGACCTTCAGAAAGAACTGGGGCACTCATGGCATTTGGCCTCGATCCTGCACCCCAAGTCATAGAGGAAGGGGGTGGCCGGGGGACCAAATGGTGAGGTGAGGTTAGTAGACCAAGGCCTCGTAGCCCCTTCTCTGTGAGTGGGCCAGCGGGGTCACTCACAGAGATAGTCATCATCCTGGGGCTCGCTGACCTCTTGGTACACGTGGCCCTTTCTTTCTCGTAGACTGTACCTCTTCACTCCAGTCTCCTTTCTTCTGAGTTCTAAGATGGAGAATAGAAGCTAAGCAAGGCTGGTGGGGTCTGGGGAGTTAGTACCTGTTTTATCAGAAAGTGTGAGATCTCCTACCTGTCCATCTATACACTTTGTTAAAACTTTCTTACATGTATTTTTCAAACTTTTACTTTTGTAATTTTCTGTTTTCATGTTACATTATTTATTTCTTGGCCACACTGCATGGCTTGTGGGATCTTAGTTCCCTGACCAGGAATGGAACCCACACCTCCTGCAGTGGAAGCGTGGAGTCTTAACCACTTAATCCCCAGGAAGTCCCTTCTCTATACTTTGTTTTTTGTCCCTTTAACTACAGGTTCAGGATACTGAGGCTCCACTGACCACAGATGCCCAGTTTAGAGATAGTGTCCTGCAATTCCCATTAGTAGGTTTAACTTCCAAACCTTGCTACTTAGGAAATAGTTCACTGACACATCTACTCAGAAAATATATGTTCAGGGCACATGACACGTAAGGCACTGAGCAGAGGCCTGGGCATAAACACTAATAAAGGACAGTTCCCAGTATCACAGCTGGATTTATTGAACTACTTGTCGGTGTCAGACTTTTGCATGTAATGTAAGGCTTTCAAGCACTGTATGAGTTATGTATGCTTATCTTCACTTTACAGATAGCAATCAGGACCTCAGAAAATGTATAAGATTTTCCCAAGGCCCCAGTGCTAACTTCATGTCTCAGATCAGTCCAGCTTAAACCCCCGCCTACCCAAAGTCCATGCCACACACCTAGGCCATACTTACTAGTTTTTCTACAGGGATTAGAGGAACTAATTAAAGGAACCCCCCAAAATTTCTCTTACCGACGTTTTGTCTGGGGTGCTGTCCAGGGGTCCTTGCTTTTCTGTGATGGGGCACTGGTTTCTGAGCCTGCTTGGAGCCACTTGTCTTCAGCGATTTTGCTGCTCCCGGCAGTTCCTTCAAACTAGATTCCTTACTTAGTGGTGCCCTGGACATTCTCTTCCATGTGAGTAAAAGACAACATCCATTTTTTAGTTCTTTAGGACTTTATGAAGTGTTTTCACATGCATGACTTTAGTTAATACTTTGACAATTCTTGGAAATACCTGATTTTTTTTTTGGGGGGGGGAGGGTCTGAACACTGGAGTCTAAAAAATGGACCTAGGTGGATAGTGAATCAAAACTAGAATTCATATGTTAAGGTTTTTCCCCTTCAACTTTCTGCATAAAAGTGAGAGCAAGGCAGGGAGAACAGCTGGAGGTCAGAGAAAGAAGAGGGTAAGGGCTCGTAGAGAGATCCGGGGGGTTTCTATTAATTAGTGGCGCTTTGATGGACGAGGAAGGTTGGAAAATTACAGAGGGGACAAAACACATCTGGAAAATAAGGTGACAAAGCAGTGAGACTAAGAAGAGAAAAGACGATCGGCAGAAACACATTTAGACAATAAAGAAAATGAGATGAAAGTTGCAGGTTGCCATGTCCTAGAGACAATGTTTGAAATTAAAGTAGCTGGTCTCATCAGTTCTCCTTGAACAAGGCTGTATGACTAGCTGGTTCTATTCAGTTTCCTGATCCATTAATTGGTGTACAGGCTAATTCTTAATATTATAGTGGACGTGAAATTTAATAACCTTCAACAAATTGTTGCGTGAGCTATTTAATACAATAAGAACGTGAGCATACATCCCTGGTATCAATTTATTCCCTAAACTGCATCTGTATTTGAGGTCTAGCTCACAGATACTATCTTCAGCGTTCTTTGACCTTTCTACTCCTAGATGCATGCTTAAATGTGGAGTCACTCATTCAGAAAACATTCAGGGGGCCTCAGGGGCTTTGAGCTGGGCCTGGACTTCGGAGAATGAATGGGTGTGGGCTAGGCTCTCAAAACTCACAACACAGGGGCAGGCTAAACAAATGATTCCAAACAGGAGATTTGCCTAATCAGAGCTCAGGAGAAGGACTTGTTACTCCCTCCTGCAAGAATGAGCATTTGAAATGATGCCCAGATGATGAGTTTCTACTCAAAAGCAGGTAATCTACGTGAAGTCCTTCTGTTATTTTCTTATTTGTTGCTTTTCAGTCATAAACCTGATGCTTATCAGGGTTGCGAGTTGCTTCCTCTTATTGGAGTGGGAGGCTCTGAGGTAGGGATCCTGTCTCCTTCTTCATCTTGGACTGTCCACTCTAGAAACTGCCTGGCATGTCCTTAAGTTTCTTCATCTTGGACCATCCACTCTACAAACTGCCCAGCATGTCCTAAAGCTTCTTCATCTTGGACCATCCATTCTACAAACTGCCCAGCATGTCCTTAAGCTTCCCTTAGTCAGATGTCTTAGCATATCCCTCCCTAGCACAGCACAAAAGAACTGAGGTTGAAAACATCTCTCAGATGAATGATATAAAGATGGATGAATGATATAAAGATGTATGAATAAGCTTCATAGAACTATGGAAATTTTAATCAGTTTCTAAGGGGTTTAGAGAACATGCATTGGTTTAGATTGCACTACCAGTGATACTGTGATCCCAGGCATATAATGAAATGTTTTTTACCTCAGTTTTTTGATCTATCATGGTGATAGCTATATAACTACTTTTAGGCACTGTAGGATTGATTTAAGGTTTAAGTAAGTTTATTCACATAAAATGCTTAAAGTCTGAAATATTATGAAAATAATGTAACAACAGAACCGCCTACTACTGTTGTTGTTCTTACTAACTGTAGAGATGGTGATGATATCTGACATTGTGCTAATGATTCAGGACAGGAAGGCAGCAGTCTCCAGGATCTCTGTGCTTTCTCCTATTCTCACCTGTGACTGGATCCATGAGGAGGATATTTTGGCAACAGGATTTGGGAAATACTCACCTTCTTTTGTTTAGTCTGCTCCAGCCTGAAGGCCATCGCAGATGGTTTACCTAAAAAATGATGAGAATCAGCGTCTTGGTTGGTAAATGATTCCAAACTCTGGGCTTTCTAATTAAGGACACATAATTCTATGCCAGAGAGTGACAAAGACAACGATTACCAAAGGAGGTCTGGAAAATGATTTCTGTGTCATCAACTCCCATGGTTCCACTGGGAGCATTACATCATTTTCTTAAAATTAAAAAAAAAATGAAACTTCATCTGTGCCTCATCTGATGTTCATAAAGTATCTAATAAATTTACTAGTCTTTCATGACAAAAGGACTCAACGATGTAGAAATAGGAGGAAGTGACTGCAATACAATAAAGGTCATATATTGCAAGTCTACCTCTAACATCATAGTCATCAGTGAAAAAGATCAAGAAAAAAAGCCAAGGATGCCCGTTATCAACATTTCTGTTCACCATAATACTAGAAGTCCTAGCCAGGGCTTTAGGTTAGAAATGGAAACAAAAGGCTTCCATTTGGAAAGAAAGAAGTGAAATTATATCTGTTCACAGGGGCATGGTTTTATGTGCAGAAAAATCTTTAAATCCACACACACAAAAAACCCGCACAGAAAGTTGCACAGTACAAAATCAACATTCAAATATCTTTCCATGCATGAAGAATGACCATTCCACAAAGGAAAATAAGAAAACAATACTGTTTATTTTTCACTTTTTTAAAGCTACAGTCAAGAGCTAAATTAAAAAAAATATATTTATTTTTATTTATTTGTTTGTTCCAGGTCTTTGTTGCGACATGTGGGATCTAGTTCCCTGACTAGGGACTGAACCCAAGTTCTCTGCATTGGGAGTGTGGAGTCTTAGCCACTGGACAAAAAAATCTTATTTATAATAGCATTGAATAGATGAAGTAATTAGGAATAAACTTAAGGAGATGAAAGACTTATATGTTGAAAACTACAAAATATTGCTGAAAGGAATCTGACATAAATAAATAGATAGGTGTCTCATGTTTGTGGATTTGGAGGCTTAATATTATTAAGCTGTTCATACTACCCAAAGCAATTTAAAGATTCAATGCAATTCCTATTAAAATCCCAATGGAATTTTTTTCAGATATAGAAAATCCATCCAACAGTTAACACGGAATCTCAGAGCACCCCAAATAGGCAAAGCAATCTTAGAAAGAACAGCAAAGCTGGAAGCCTCAGATTTCAGAACATACTACAAAGGTACAGGAACCAAAAGAGTGTAGATTTGGCAAAAAATGAGTGCTTAGTCGCTCAGTCTTCTTGACTTTTTGTGACCTTTTGGACTGTAGCCCACCAGGCTCCTCGTCCAGGGGATTTCTCAGGCAAGAATACTGGACAGTGTTGCTATTTCCTTCTCTAGGGGATCTTCTTAACCCATGGATTGAACCTGCATCTCCTGTGTCTCCTGCACTGAAGGCAGATTCTTCACCTGCTGAGCCACTGAGGAAGCTGGCTGGCATAAAGACAGATATGTCAATCAATGGAACAGAATAGACAGTCAGAAATAAACTCTTGGATACATGGTCTAATGATCTTCATCTAGGATGTCAAGATAATGGGGATAATTTACTCCCTGTAATGAATGGTTCTGGGGAAACAAAATAACCAAATGCAAAATAAGGAACATCTTACATCTTGAAGAAAAAGCAATTCAGAATGGAATAAAGACCTAAATGCAAGACTTGATAAGACTCTTTAGAAGAAAACAAAGGTGAAGCTTCATGACTTTGAATCAACAATGATTTCTTAGATATGGTACCAAGTGTACAAGTATTAGTAAGAAAGTAAAAATAGACAAATGAGATTAATCTTCAAACCTCTGAGCAGCAAAGGACACTGAACAGAGTTGAAAAGGCCACCTATAGGATGGTAGAAAATATTTGTAAAATATGCATCTGATAAGGGGTTAATAAGCATACACCAGTATGAAGGCGACCTATAAGCCAGGAAGAGAACCTGATTGACCATGATGGCACATTGATATCACATTTCCATGCTCCAGCATTGTAAGAAAACAAATTTCTGTGGTATAAGGATTGCAGTCTGTTTTGTTATGGCAGTCTGACCTGACTAACAGTGAGAGAAGGAATTGAACAGACATTTCTCCAGAGAAAATACACAAATGGCCAACAAACATATGAAAAGATGCTCAATGTTACTAATCAATAGGGAAATACAAATTGAAACCTTCTGTGATGGGCAATATGTATAAGAAGACAATAGCAAGTTTGGTAAGGATATGGATAAATTGGAACCCTTATACACTATTGTTGGCAATGTAAACCGTTGCAAGCTTTATAGAAAACAGTATGGAGTTTCCACAGAAAATTAGAATTGCTGTATGATCTAGCAATCCAACTCAAGAGTGTATTTCCATAAAAAATTGATAGCAAGATATTGAATAAATAGTGGGCACATGTATGGTCATTGCTGCATTATTCCCAATGGGCAAGATGTGTAAGCAATCTAAATGTTCGTTGGTGGATAAAAGATAAAGATTATATATAAGATATATGTTATAGCTCTTATATCCACATGCACACAGTGGAATGTTTTGAAGCCTTAAAAAAGAATTCTGTCATATGCTACATCATGGATGGGCCTTGATGATATTATACTAAGTGAAATGAACCAATCAAAAAAGACAAATATTGCCTGATTCCACTTCTATGAGGTATCTAATTTAATCAAATCCATGGAAATAGAAAATATAACCATGGTTGCCAAGGGCTGTGAGGAGGAAGGATTGGAGAATTGTTACTTAGTGGGTTAGGGCTTCAGTAACGGAAGAGGTAACATTTCTACAGATTTGTTGTACAGCAATGTGTATATATATCCCTGGTGGCTCAGCGGTAAAAAATCCACCTGCAATGCAGGAGATGCAACAGATGCAGGCTCAATCCCTGGGTTGGGATGATCACCTGGAGCAGGAAATGGCAACCCACTCCAGGATTCTTGCCTAGAGAATCCCATGGACAGAGGAGCCTGGTGGGCTACAGTCTGTGGGTACACAGAGTCAGACATGACTGAGCGATTAGCACTATGGCCACTAACACTAACGTGTACATAGTTAGCAACAGTGTGCCATACACTCAAATTGTTAAAAAGGTAAATAAATACGTGCAGGCGTATGGTGAACCTAGGTGTATGTATTCCCTATGAAGAATCTCTCTTCATGTAAAAACCTTTGCAGACAACCAAATGTTTGGTTTTCATGTCCCTTTCCCTAGTTTTAATAACCTCAGGGAACAGAGGGACTTCCCCTGTGCACAGTGGATGAGAATCTGCCTGCCAATGCAGAGGACACAGGTTCGATGGCTGGTCCAGGAAGATTCCACTTTCTGCGGGGCAGCTAAGCCTGTGTGTCACAAACTACAGAGCCTGCATGTGCTCTGCAACAAGAAGACACTCACGGCAACCAGAGAAAGGCCGTGCACAGCAACAAAGACCCTGTGCAGTCAAAACTAAATAAATAATTTTTAAAAATCTGGGAGAACAGAAATCCATAGATGGAGAATCATAGAACTATCTAAATTGTTTTCTCCATTCATGCAGATTAACTCTTCTAAACTGTTTGAGCACCAGAAGAGGAAGTGAGCTGCTCACTTCTATTTTATAATAAGTGTACTTCATTTTATTTACCTGATGCCATCTCTGGTCAGTGAAATATGGCAAAGATCATGGAGAATAAATAGTTCTCTCCACCCTTTCCCAGAATCAAAATAAAGAATTAGTTTAACCTTAGGGTAAGAAGATAATGGGTTTTATTTTATATACATACAGAAATAATGTATCTTGACATAATATGTTAATCATCGCCTCTTTGAAGAGATTTAATCCAATAACCAATGAGATTAGTATTAAATCTGTTTGGTGAATTTATTTCTAAGGTTTCTTTAACTGCCTTTCACTAAGAATGTTTAGCCAAAATAATTCTTTTTAAAAAGAATGAAAAATTTTAACCGTAACACTGTTGAGAATTACACTGGGAAACCTATACATTCATCTTCATTGAGTCTTATGTAAATATTTGGCCACAACCACTTTGAAATGTTGAAAATTATGTTTTCTTTGCTACTGGCTGAGATGTAGTTGAGACCTAAGCCTAGGCTGGTTTCAGGAAGGTACCCCAAATCCTCCTGGCCCCTCACCTTGCTGCCTTGGTGTCCATTCTTCATCAGAATCCTCAGTGTCTTCTACCTGGGGTTTGATGACCTGTCTGCGGTGATGCATGAAATCCGGTCGAGTGGCTCTGAAACCTGGAAAGAAGCAAAATATTTGTTCTAAGAAGGAGGAACAAAGCATAGAAGCAATGGAAAGTGTCACAAAGTCAAGGAAATCTGTAGGATGGGCTGGGAGAATCTAGAATAAGGCAAGAGGTGAGCTCTGCACTGCAGGGTCAACCTCCCTTTGGTACAAAACTGTAAACATTTCCTCCACGTTAGTCTCCACACAAAAGGGAACTGTGAGCAGATGAAGCCACCTAAGAGCGGGCCAAGTGAACAGTGAGGGTGAAGACCTGCTTCATGTTTCCCAGGCTCACAGGCACCCAGCTCTTCCTGTTACCTATAGCAGTCAGCGCTTCGTAGTTTCTTTTCACATTCCTATATCGGATTTTTTCCCATTCTCCCATCTCTTCCCATTCTTCCTTGGAGAAGTATACGGAGATGTCTTTGAAAGCATCTTTGGCCTAAGGAAAATAATCGATTTCATCAGTGATTTACTAATCTAAGTCAGATCTTAGAGCTGGGCCTTCTCCTCCACCTTTTGTGCAGGGAGTAGCCTGAAGCTGCTGGATGGTCTGTGTGACACAGGGATGAAGACTTTTCTTCCCGACTGTGTCCTGCTTAACTGAACAAACACTGAGCATTTTCCAACTCAGAGCAGTTGATGGAGCTAGTGTCCTGTTCTGTCCCATTCCACCCCACCATCTCAGACAGGACCAGGCATTCCCATACTGTGTACAGTCACAGGGAAGTTCACTCAGCTGCCCAGGCAAGCAGTCTGTGATGCTTCAGGGACCAGCGCTGTGTCCTTCCTATAGAGCTGGCTTAGAGCCCAGCTTTGCCGCCTCCACCTCTCACCGTGGGCTTCCACTCTGTTCTTCCAGCATCTCCCTCAGTGCTCTCCTCTCGAGACCTGTTCGGCCTCATGGCCATTGGAGTGCTCAAGACCAAGGTGCCTGTGGAAGAAAGAGGTGCTGAGATAGCCCAGACCAGTGTCCAGAGCCTGGTCTGTCTTCCTTGGGTGGAGAGTCCAGGGTAGGAAGGTGAGGGGAAAGTCAGGGTGAGGATATTGGTGGGATGGACAGATCCTGACTAGATATGACATATCAGCCTAATGTGAACTAGATTTGGTTTCTTTGGTTCCCCTACAATTCAGCCCCTCTGAGGGAAGGCAATGGGAAGGATGTGTCTGTGTGTGACGGAGGGTTTCTTGAGGAGACCCGGAAACCCCTAACTGCTGGACTGGGGTCAGGCTGAGATCAGGGCTCTGTTCCAGTGCAGCAGAGGGAATGTTTCTCCAAGAAGGGTTTTGAGGATCTCCTCCTGGGGACTCAGAAAAATCTGGGCATAATGCAGGTTCTACCTCTAAGGGACAAGTCGTTCGGCTTGAGGAGATCTGGGTCCCACGGGCTGAAGGAACTGGGATCCTCAGACAGAGTGGACTGGGGATCGTTTGGCTGATGTAGAATGCTCAGGGTCAGAAAACTCGGGAACTGTGAGGCTGAGGAAATTGGGGGTTTCTTATTAAGGGACTTTAGGTCTCTGAAAGGCAGGACAGTTAGGGTCTTGAGGAGGAAGAGTTTTAACAGCTCCCAGGCGGAGGTATTCAGGGTCTCCAAGGTTGAGGTAATTTGGTCTCTCTGCGAGTGCTATTTTTAGGGTGCCTCAGACTGAGGGGAACTGGGGTTAATCTAGGTATTTGAGGGTCGCAGCACTAGGGGTTTCAGGGTTTCTGTGGGTGAAGGGACTTGTAATCCCTGAAGCTGAAAAGACGCAAGCCCCTTTCACATTAGGACTCGGGTTACTCAAAGTTGACGGGATTTCGGGCCTCCCACCCTGGAATTTGAAGCCATCAGGCTAAGGGTTTACTAGGGCTGGGCAGGACGCGTTCCCGTCAGCCTCCCCGTCAGCCTCCCCGCTGTCCTGCCGCGCTGCCCACCCTGTCCCCAGGAGCGCTAGAGGTTCAGCGACGTCCTGTCCTGCGCTGAGGTGAAGTGAAGGGCCAGCAGCCTGCCTGTACCCTGTCAGGCACAAGCGACCAATCGGCGTTGTGACTGAGGCAGTCTGGCCAATAGGCTCCCGGAGGGTGGGGAGCGCGATGGAAGCCCCGCCCCACCGCTCGGGGATTGGCTGCTCTGTGGGCGTGTCTGTCAAGCCTCCAGCGCGCAGGCGCATCTTGGCTGGTTTCTTTGTTTTCAGGCATGGCCTCTTAGGCCTGGATCCTCAAGTGGGCGGGTTGTCCTCAGGCTGAATGTTTCTTTCCAGTACCCTCAACGGGTATATCGGGTCCACCAGGCTGTAACCGTGCTCCCAGACTTTATCCTAGGCCCACGTGTGCCCTACCTTATCAAATCCAGCTTTGGCAAGAACTCTTATGTGATGAGTACTGCATTATTCAAGGGAAAACGGTGTAATTAACTGCATTCTGATGAGACACAAGATAAACACCGTATGGTCAAAGATTTAACCACAACACATGGAATAAGTATGTTAGAAAAAACTTGGAGGATTTTTTAACCTGAAAGTAGAGGTGACACTGATGAGCTATCTGTGTATTTAATGTAGGTATGAAAAGCCTTCAGAAATGAGGCATAAAGAAAACCTCAAAGCCTTGCAAGTGTTTTCTGTAAGCCGAGGCATCGATCTGGAGGACTGTGGATCCCCTGAGCTGAGTTTGCTTGACACCTACTGGCTTCACATAGGGACACTGTTTCTGGCCCTTAGGTAGCTTTGCTCACAGAAGAATAATGTGATTTCCATGTATTGGAAGCAAAGCGACTCACTGTAGAATTAGTATCAAGTGGTGGTTGGGAGTCTGGATGGAGAACTGTTATCAGAAAAGTGAGTTTACCTCTTGGTGAGTGTAGAGCCAGAAGGTACAACCCAGCCAAAGCTCATGGGAAGGAAAAGTGTCTTACTTTCAGAACTATGGAGATCACCATGGAGCTTTCCAGAGCAGTTTCTCTGTAAACCACAAAGTTGGGTAAGCTTTAATCTATGAGTACAGGTGTGTTCCGGCTTCTGTGGTGACTCAGATGGTAAACAATCTCTGCATAGCAGAAGACCCGGGTTCAACCCCTAAGTGAGGAAGATCCCAAGAGGAGGGCGTGGCAGTCCACTCCAGTATTCTTGCCTGGAGAATCCCATGGACAGAGGAGGCTGGTGGTCCGTGGGGTTGCAAACAGTCAGACATGAGTGAGTGACTAACACTTTAACTTTACAGGTATGTTCGTTAAGGGTCTTGGGCTGTGGGAGACTCCAAGCTTCAGTTGACTGAAGTCTTGAGAGTCAGAACCAGTCACCATCAGCATCCCTTACATTCCAGCTGGTCTGGTATGCATATAGATATCTATTCTTGATATAGATATAGATACCTATTCTTCTTCATATTCTTTCCCCTTATCAGTTCAATTCAGTCACTCAGTCGTGTCTGACTCTTTGCAGCCCCATGGACTGTAGCACGCCAGGCCTCCCTGTCTATCAGTAACTCCCGGAGTTTACCGAAACTCGTGTCCATTGAGTCGGTGATGCCATCCAACCATCTCATCCTCTGTCGTCCCCTTCTCCTCCTGCCCTCAATCGTTCTCAGCATCAGGGTCCTTTGAAATGCGTCAGCTCTTCATATCAGGTGGCCAAAGCATTGGAGTTTCAGCTTCAACATCAGTCTTTCAAATGAACACTGAGGTCTGCTCTTGTTTAGAATGGACTGGTTGGATCACCTTGCAGTCCAACGGACTCTTGAGTCTTCTCCAACACCACAGTTCAAAAGCATCCATTCTTCAGCAGTCAGCTTTCTTCACAGTCCAACTTTCCCATCCATACATGACCACTGGAAAAACCATAGCCTTGACTAGACAGACCTTTGTTAGCAAAGTAACATCTCTGCTTTTTAATATACTGTCTAGGTTGGTAATAACTTTGCTTCCAAGGAGTAAGTGTCTTTTAATTTCATGGCTGCAGTCATCATCTGCAGTGATTTGGAGCCCCCTGAAATAAAGTCAGCCACTTTCCCCGTCTATTTGCCATGAAGTGATGGGACCAGATGCCATGATCTTAGTTTTCTGAATGTTGATCTTTAAGCCAACATTTTCACTCTCCTCTTTCACTTTGATCAGGAGGCTCTTTAGTTCTTCTTCACTTTCTGCCATAAGGGTTGTGCCATCTGCATTGCTGATATTTCTCCTGGCAATCTTGAATCTAGCTTGTCCTTCATCCAGCCCAATATTTCTCATGACGTACTCTGCATAGAAGTTAAATAAGCAGGGTGACAGTATATAGCCTTGATATGCTCCTTTCCTGATTTGGAACCAGTCTGTTGTTCCATGTCTGGTTCTGACTGTTGCTTCTTGACCTGCATACAGATTTCTCAAGAGGCAGGTCAGGTGGTCTGGTATTCCCATCTTTTGGGAATTTTCCACAGTTTATTGTGACCCACACAGTCAAAGGCTTTGGCATAGTCAATAAACAGAAATAGATATTTTTTCTGGAACTCCCTTGCTTTTCGATGATCCAGTGGATGTTGGCAATTTGATCTCTGGTTTCTCTGCCTTTTCTAAAACCAGCTTGAAGATCTGGAAGTTCACAGCTCACGTATTGTTCAAGCCTGACTTGGAGCATTTTGAGCATTATTTTGCTAGTGTATGAGACGAGTGCAATTGTGCAGTAGTTTGAGCATTCTTTGGCATTGCCTTTCTTTGGGATTGGAATGAAAACTGACCTTTTCCAGTCCTGTGGCCACTGCTGAGTTTTCCAAATTTGCTGGCATATTGAGTGCAGCGCTTTCACAGCATCATCTTTTAGGATCTGAAATAGCTCAACTGAAATTCCATCACCTCTACTAGCTTTGTTTGCAGTGATGTCTCCTAAGGCACACTTGACTTCACATTCCAGGATGTCTGGCTCTAGATGAGTGATCACACCATTGTGATTATCTGGTTCATGAAGATCTTTTTTGTACAGTTCTTCTGTGTTTTCTTGCCACCCCTACTTAATATCTTCTGCTTCTGTTAGGTCCATACCATTTCTGTCCTTTACTGAGCCCATCTTTGCATGAAATGTCCTCATAAGCGTAAGTTTTAAGGTTGCTATTGCAGGGAATGTCCACAAGGCGTCAGGACTTTTTCATGACCAGTTGTGATTACCTTGAAAGTGAAAACTTTCAAGTTTTAATTCTAGACTGTAATTTAATATGGAATGTAGTTGAAGAAACACCCAAAAGCTTGTGTGTTCTTTCTGAACATTCTTATTTATTTATTTTAATGATTTTTTTTTTATTTACTGGCAATGCCATGTGGCACATGGGAGTTTTAGTTCCCTGACCAAGTGTTGAACCCTCGCCCCATGCATTTGAAGCACAGAATCTTAACCACTGGACTGCAGGGAAGTCCCCCTAAGCATTATTTTTTTTAAAGTAACCTTTTTAAAGTAACCTTTATTTCATATTGTAGTAACATTGATATACCATGTGTTGTTGGTGGCAGGTGAACCAAGCGTATTTTGTATTTTGTTGTTGTTCAGTTGCCAAGTCAGGTCTTTTTGTAGGAGCATTCCCTTTTCTACAGGCCCTGTTATATTGGTAAGACATCTATTTGTATATACATAAGTGTACATAAATGTAAATATCTAGGTACATAGATGTGTAAATGTCCAGATAGAGATATAAATGTCTAGGTATGTAGATATACAAATGTCTATATGCATAGAAATATACATTGTACATACATAGATGTATAAATACATAGGTTCATAGAGACATAAATATCTATATACATAAACATAAATATATATTTACATATAGACATAACTATCTATTCAAAACAGAAAAAGAGACACAGATGTACAGAACAGACTTTTGGACCCTGTGGGAGAAGGCGAGGGTATGATGTTTCGAGAGAACAGCATCGAAACATGTATTTTATCTAGGGTGA